TGCTTAGCGCATTTCTGATTGGTTGCTTGACCTCTTCTAGGGTTAAAGACCTAGGAACAAAATTAAAAGCTTTCCGGGTTAGGTGGGGCACCTTGGCACCTGATGGACCGCCCATCCCCCTATACTCCAGAGAAACCTCAAATTCCAGAATGGGGGAGGGGTGGGAAAGCCAAGAATGTCAAGGCCCGTTTGTGTTTGTACTACTTCCATTTGTATTAGTCCTACAAAACAGCAAAATAAATAAATACATGTAAAGAAAACCCCACCACAACAAAAAAACAAACAACAAACAACAACGCCGTGGCAAATTATCTGAGAGGAAAGACAATCTGCAATTACTGGGGTGGGAAGAAGGGGTGATATTTACATGGAACTTTTGAGCCTAAGAAACAGGAAAAGGGGGCGAGGGAGTCATAGAAACCCTCCAAGAGACGCTGTGTAAGTCTGTAAAACAGAAACACACTCACTCACCCTGCTACACAGAGCTGAAGGGATCGGGACTGAGATCTGGCCAGGAGCTGGGGAAGGCAGCGAGTCTTGCCTGGGTGTGGGACTTGGGCCCTGATTAAACTCTTGATTGAAGACCATTAGATTCGCTCCCCAAGACCCAAGGGAGGCTGGAGGGAGGAGGGGGGCGTCAAGTTATAGACCAAGGGAAACTCCCATCTCCCTGCTGCTTGGATGGAAAGTTTCCAAAAATCCTCAGAATCAGACTGGGAGGGAGGGGTAGAGTCGGGGAGGGCCCCTAACGAGAAAGGGAGAACAGGAGAGTTAATTCTCCAATGGGTTACTGGGAAGAGTCCGCTGGGATCCTAACGCCTCTCCAGAAAATAAAGGGGTGGGAGGCTGGAGGGGGAGGCCGAAGTTGAGGGACTGAGGCCCGGGAGGGAAGGCTTTGGAGAGTTCTCCACCTGGGCGCCCCGGCTCTTCAGCTCCTCTAGCATGCGACAGTCCCCTCGAGCAAGGGATGGGGCTCCAGCTCTGACTGCCGGTGTCCTTGGGTCTCTGTTCCCCATCACCCTGCCAGAGTCTGCCTGGGCCCCCTGCCTCTGCCTGATTCCTGTTTCTTTCTCAGTCTTTTGGGCGACAGGGGCACGGTAACAGCGTCCTCCTCCTGTCCCCAACTGCACCTCTCCATCCAGTGGGCGCCCAGAGCCCCTTGCCCCCAAAACATTCCCTCCCCCTCTGCTCTGGCTCACCCCTCGCTCCCTCCCCCTTTCCCCTGGCCTAGATGCCTTGCCCTCTAAGGACCCGCTTTCCACCCTGCTTTGGAATCCCTGGCCTCTTCAGAGAACCTGCGTTCCTACGTTGTCATTTTCTTGGTTTAGGCCCCAGTGAAGCACGGGGAGGTGAACACTACGTGTCCTCCACACGCAGGTGTGGAGGACACATCCTGCCTCTGTGTCCAACGCCTCTGCTGTTCTTTCCTAGAAACCTGAAGGGAGTCTCAGCCTGAGATTGGCCCCAGGGCACCATGCCCATTGGGTCCTGAGGGCTCCATCGCCCAGAGGCCACTCTCTCCTCGGGGCCAGGGGACTTTCCTGGCCAGCCTAGTAAAGACATTGCCTCCACTCCCATGCCCATTTATACTCCATTCATAGCAGGAGCCTCTAGGCCTCCAGGGCCTAGTTTTACCTCAGGCCAGCGCTAGGGATGCCAGGAAAGACCCCGACAGTTAGAGGGAGGGGGAGGCATGAAACCACACTGGCCCCAGACAGACTAAGACCCCAGACTGTGGAGACCCGGACAGCTGCCCACCCAGGCCTGGTGATGAAGAGAGGGAATGTTTCGGGACTCCCTGGGCTCCACCCGCCAACTTTAAGATGCTTCTGCCATTTCAGTTCACAGCCTGTGGGCTCAATGGTCCCAAAGGCCTCCTTCCCTGTCTCCCTCCCCAGCTGCCTGCCCCGCCTGGACTCTGGGCCACTGGCCAAGGGCTGAACTGGCCCCTCCCCAGAACAAGGGCCCCAGAGGCCCTTTGCACTTGCGCCTAGAGTTTACACACTCCTAACAAACACCAAACATCCCTGTGTCTGCCGCTGTCTTTCTTCTCAACTGAGAAGGGAGAGGGGGTCAGGGGGACCTGGCAAAGCTCTAAAGGACCCAGGTCTGTCTTTACCCCAGTCGACTTGCAGCTGGAGGGACTGAGGGGCTGGGGGTGGGGAGGGCTGGTCTGGGGAGACAAGCTCCCCCATCCTCCTACCTCCCAGCGACTTCCCTTCTTCTCCCACCCCGGCCTGGGGAGGCCTTCTTCCCCTCCCTTCATGAGTGGGTACTGCCTCCTCTTTGGCGGGGGGGGGGGATTAGGTAAATGGGAGAAAGGGTCAGAGAGAGAGAAAATTAACTTACAGCATTCGTCTGGGATTCATTTGCGAAGATGTAACCTCTCTCACCATCATCCCCAGCGCCGTAATCCCCTCTAACTGCCAGGCCCTCTGTCCTAGCATTAAACCTCACCAGCAGCTGCGTGGCTGGACAGTTAAGATTATATATGATGTAAATATATTGTGGGTTTGTCAGCTCTCCCTACACCATAAAACTTGGTTTAATGACATCACGTGGTCCCCCAAGAGCCACTCATGGGCTTGCCTTTGGGCCATTCACATAAATAACCTCCAAAAGTTTCAAACTCCTAAATTCACATAGAAGCAGTGCGTGTTTCTCTAATGCTCAGTTACTCTAAAAAGCCCTCGTGCTGCTCCCTGGCCTCACCCCATACCCCCCTTGCAGGGTGGGGAGAGGGCAGAGGGTGGATCTTTATTTATTTACTTACTTACTTACTTCCATAAGGACCTGTCGCCTTCGAGGTCGTGTTGATATTGTTTTTTCCTCCTATTTTTTTTCTCCTCTCTCCTCTAATTGCTCAGAGTGGGCCGTGTCCCCCTCTTCCCACTCCCCCGGGAAGGTAAGTCATGCTTCTTCCCCTTGTTCCTCACTGCCAGAGGGGGTGGGTTCCAGGGCAAAGTGGAGAAGCAGGCTCCATGGTCTCTGTTTGGGACCCAGAAGCCCCTCCACTAACTCCCCAAGAGCAATGCCAAACCCTGGTACTTGAAGATTGTTCCAGGAGGCCGGCTGGTGAAGCAGAAGCCTCTGTTCAGGGAGAAAGCAAGAGTCTGGGCCGCACCCACTCGCAGTGCAAGGGAGCGTGTCCGAGGCCTCTGTCTAGGTTGTGGGCGCTGATGCCGCCGAAGCAGAGGCTGGGCCCTGAGCACAGGTCTGCGGACCATGACACAGGGTGGAAAACTGGCAGGCACGGCTGTGTCTACCCAAGTCTGGCCGACCGGAGTCACTACTCCAGCTCCTCCAGGGAAAGAGGAGACCCAAACCCTGCGGGGAGGAGGCGTCAGTGCACAGTGGGGCTGGTGTAACCTGCCCAGCGGGTCTGAGCCACACTGTCCCCACCCCTGGCCAGGGGCGATGCATCCCCTCACCCCACCCCACTTCAACCCCCGGGAAGAAGCGCAGGGCCTCGGCAGTCAGGGAGGCTGGGGTGGGTGATGGTGGGCACCACGACCTCTTTATTAGTTAACTGTTACCCACTGGAGACACCAATGCTTCTCCACGCTTCACTGGAGAAAAAATTAAAATAACTCCCTGAAGAAAATTACACATTTTATTTGAGAGAAAGGAAACAGATGAGCTGGTGTAGGGCTGGGCTGACTGCTGAGCGCTAGTGGAAGAGAGACATTACGGGCTCCCTAACCTGGCCTGAGTGCAGTGAGAAGGGGACGGGTGTAGCCATGGGTGCAGTTCAAGAAACATGTGTAGAGACCTCCTACATGCTAAGCATGGGATGAGGCAAGGCTCTTGGGTATTTCAGAAAAAAAAAATGACAGACTGGCAGCTTAGGCAGTGGGATGCAGAGGAGTCAGTCCTTATAATAAATCCAAGGAACATCAACATTAATAATCATAAATATTCTCCTTGCCCCTCCCCAAAGCCTCTCTGCTCCCTTTCCCTCTTGGCTGCTGGAATAGACTTCTAGCCCAGATCCTGAACTGGCCCCCACCCCCGGTGTGGGGGGCCTAGGCTTGGCTCCAGGAAATCACCCCGTCGTGGGAGGCGGGAGAGGAAATGCAGTAAAGTTTTATGAACCCTTCCCGCATTTGTTTCTCCTATAAAGTACTTCCTCCCCCATCCCATCCCAGGAGCCTGGGGCGGAGCAGATCTTTGGCCTAGGCCAGCCTCAGGCACCACCTGAATTATCTCCTTTTCCCCTTCCCTTTAGCTCCCCCTCCCCCTCCACACAAAATCCCAGAGACTGAGATAAATGATGGCAAACAGACCCAACTCAGGCACTCGTCTATGCAGCTCCTTTCCCAGCTGATTGCCCTGCATAGCCCTAGGCCCTAGGAGGTGGGGAAGACGCTCTGAACATTTCCTGCCTGGGAGGTACAAACTGCAGGTTGCCCCACTGCTTCCCCACCACCTTAGAAAGCTCACACGCCTCCTCCCACGGCGCCCCTCTACTGAGCAGTACCAACTCTTTCTGAGCATCCTTTTGGGACCAAATAGGCCCCTAGGCTGAGGGCTCAGTCCTTCCTCTATGTCCAGCGAGGCCCGGGGACCACCACGTAGCCCTGAGAGACCTCTGCACAGGCCCAGAAGGGCCTGAGTCTGAGCACCGTGGAGCCATGGGTCCCTGGTCCCTGCAGATTAGCTCTGGCATGCTGTGGGGCCGTTGCCAGTCTAGAGGCCTCATATCCACCCAGCCAAAGTGGGAGTGGGTACGGAGGCCTGAATGCCTGGGACAGTCACAGCATGGGAAAAGCCAGTACAGACGGCGTGGGTGCCCTCCCCTTCCCCTAGAGGTCCTTCTTGGAGCCAGGGATTGGGAAAAAGGCTCAGTTCGACCTTCCTCTTCTCAATACTCCTAGAGGCTCCTAAAAATTCTTTTAAAGGAGAGGCTTAAAGGCTGTGGGCCTCCCCCAACACCCCGTAGCCCATTTAGACAATTTTCCCCAATACATGCCCCCCAAACAGAGAGGAGCCGCTGCATCTTTAGTCCTGTTCTCTCTTTGTCTTTATTTGATATGACAAAATATAGTTTCAGGAAAGACCTGGAGTCAATAAATAGTTGGACAACAGCGATGAGAAGAAGGACACCGAACGTCGTGGCAGGGACTACTGGGGCAGCCAGGAGCCTCTAGGACCTTTGCTGGGGTCCAGTAGCAGGGAACCCCAATAGCTGAGCTAGCTAGCGGTCTGAGGCTGGGGGCCTGAGAGGGCATGCAGAGAGCGCAGGCTGGACAAGTTCCCGGGCTTTGGGGTGGGGGGCGCAGGTTGGGAGAGCATAGGGCAACCAAGGGGGCCCTAAGCAGACAGTCATCTTCCCCCTTTCATATGCAAATCATTTAAAAAATGAACATTGAGTTTAGTGGCTACAAGGAAGCACCCCGAGTCTGGTGCCGGACTCCGCCAGGCACAACCATCCTCTTACCGAGCCCGCAGCCGGGAACAAAGGAGAGGGCGAGGCCGGAGGGTCCCGGCGCGGGGCCTCAGGCGCCCGCAGGACCCACCTGAACCCCGGCGGCCACGCTGGGGCAGGAATCCTGAGAGGCAGCCCAGGCCGGGTTCGCTCAGCACCAGCCCCTATGCCACAGCCCTCTGGGGATCCTGCGGATAGCCTGCCCTGGGACCTCGGTGCTGAGCAGAACTGAGGGGAGTCCGGGCAGCGCGGGCAGCCACGCGGGAACCTGGGGTCGGTGGGGATGCGGAATGCCAAGGGAAAGAGCTTTTGTCTGTGAGGCCGGGGAGCCGACGCTCCAAGCCTCCGCCCTATACCGAGAGAGGAAAACCGAAAAGGAAAGGCGCAGGGACCGAAGCGGGCTCGGGGTGCTCTCGGCGGGCCTCTCCGCTGCCTCTAGAGAGCCTCTTTGCTCTTCATTTTGGAATCTTTCTTCCACTTCATCCTGCGGTTCTGGAACCAGATCTTGATCTGTCTCTCGTTGAGACACAAGTTGTTGGCGATCTCTATGCGCCTGCGGCGAGTGAGGTAGCGGTTAAAGTGGAATTCTTTTTCCAGTTCCAGAGTCTGGTAGCGCGTGTAACTGGTTCGGGACCGCTTGCCGTCAGTCTCTGGAATATAAACCCCCCAAGCCAGGAAGGGGTGAATAGCGTGCAGCGCCCCAGCTTCCCCATCCCAGCCCCAGGCCCCCACCAGCGGCCGGAGGGAGAAGACGCGAGCGGGGCAGGACAGGCCCGGCGGGCCGCAGGCGGGCCCGGCCCAGCCCAGCCTGGCCCCGGGAGAGGCGCCTCCGCCCAGGCAGGAAACTTTCCGCCGTAGCCTTCACTTAGCAGCCGGAGGGGCTGAAGGGGTGGGGGGGAGAGGGAGACCCAGGCTCGGACCGAACAATAAGCACCCTCGAGATCCGAGCACCGGGGACCCCCCTCCCGCCCCTCCCAAGTCACTGGAATCTTCCGGAGCGGCAAGCGGCGGCCGAGCCGGCTCCGCAGGGGAGGGAGGAGGGACCGCGGGGGGATCCCCGCTCTGGAGCCCCGCGCTCCTCACCCTTCAGATCCCTCTATTTTTTTAACTCCCTCCCTCTCCCCCCAAAATTGAATATTGCCTTTTATACACGTTTTGTTCCTATGATCCAATTATGTCGTCGTAAATTTGGGCGCACACAGCCTCTAAGCCTTTTAGTGGACAGTTTTACGAGCCATTGATGCCTGGATCGTAAAATTTATGGCCGCGGGTTTTTTTTCTTTATTTGCCCCGCATGGCCTATAAAACCCAGGCGGACCCGAGCGCGCAAAATGAAGTCCTAAAGTTTACCGTGGCTCATGTGCAGTTTGGTCATCCACGGGTAAATCTGTGGCGGGGCCGGTGGCTGGCTCAGTCCGGCGGGCTGCCCTGTCTGCGCCTGCTCCTCTTTGATCTCCCCACTGCTCTTAGCTCGCTCCTCCAGCGCTGGGCGAGCCGCCTTCTGACTGTACATCCCGGGGTTCAGAGGAGCCGCTTCATCTCTGCCCAGAGCGTGTCCCGGAGCGGCCGCGGCGCTGCAGGCGGGGCGGTCGGGGTGAGCCCGGGGGTTGGCAGCCATGTCTACCCCGTGGAGAGAGTTGGAAGGCGCAGGCGGTGGGAAAGTGATGCTTAAGTCCAATCCGCCGTAGCAGTACCTGGATGCCTGCACCTCTGAGGCCGATCCATAGTTCCCACAAGTTTGCATGTTATAGGCAGGGATATTGGGGCTCTGCTTATAGAATGAATTGGCTACGTAGGAGCTCATGGCGGGGAGGGCCCAAAAAATTTTTCTGCACCCTTTTTGATTAAGGGTGATTTGTGACTCTTTGAAGTTGAGGGGTTTTTTGTTCTCCAAAGTGCACAATTTATAGGTGGAGATATCTCTTTCTTTATCCTATGCGCTCTTCCCAAATAAGGGAGCCTTAAATAGAGTCACGTGACTCGAGCGGCCACTCATAAATTTGGCTTGATGACCTCCGGGAGGTTAGTGATGGAAGCCGGCGAAACGCATCTTGATATGTTGGCAAAGCCCAACCAAGGGGGAGAGGGAGTGAGGGAGAGAGAGAAAGAGAGAGAAGGGGGAGAAAAAAAAAAAAGGTTCTTGGAATTGGGGGGTAGGCGGGACAACGAGCCCACAGCGACACCTGGTGCCTGCTTGGAGGCATTGCAGCCTGGCTCGCCGGCTGGTCTTCAGGACTCTGGATTTTCCACGCTGTAGAGGAGAAGCTGGGTGCTGCTGCAACAAACCACTGAAATGGCCTTTTAAATTGTATTTAATTTTAGGGGGAGATGAGGCTTCACTAGGATGCACAGAGGGTTTGTTCTGTTTTTTGGTTTTTTGTTTTCTGTTTTTTCGGGGTTTTCTTGGGTAACGGATGGCCCCATCCTCCCCAACCCCGGGGCCTTTCAATGTTCAAAAATGGCTGAGGGAAGGGGATTGAGGTAGGAGAGCCCCTACCCAGGCCGGAGGGGGCTTATCTCAGGTTCTCTAAACCAAGGGTCGAGGTCCCTTTCCTCTGAGGCCCCAGAGCCCTGATACTGCTGAGGAGGTGCCTGTCAGCCTGAGAAAGTGAACCCAGCTTCTGCAGAGGTAGGCAGGATGCCCAGGAGTAGGGGTCCCGAGTGGGCAGAACTAGATAGGGGGCTCAGGGGACTGAGAGTGCTGGGGACTCTGGGATGAGCCTGGAGGTGAGGAGCCAGGGGAAGCTGAGTAGGCCTCCTCACCATGCCAGGGACCTCAGAGTAGCAACAAGGCAATTTTCAATTGTGTGACTGGGTGGATGGCTAGCTGGGTGGGTAAAGAACCAGACACAATGAACTGGAGGACTGCTGTGCATCCCTGGGTATGACCCTGGTGTGGTACCCATGCCAGGTATTTTGGATGGAAAATAGATGTTAATTGAGGGCATGGAGAAGCAAGATTCAAGCTTCCACAAATATTATATGAGCAGGGCAGAGGAAAAGGCCTGTTTTGTGCCCTTTGGAGGAAAGGCCTCTGGACCAGGCTTTCCAGGGACCTGGGTTCAGAAGGTCCACAGGAGAGCAATTTCTGAGCTATCTGGAGGTGTCCAAAAGGATCTAGCTGGGGGTGGGGGGATGGGGATAGGCAGGGCAGGCGCCTGGGCCACCTTCACAGCCTGTGACCAGGGGCTCCGCAGCCATTCGGCCCCTTTACATCCCCCCCTCCCCTAGCCCCAAGTCTTATTCTTTCCTGCCTGTCTCTCCCCAGGAAATATCCGCCCCGGCCAGGAGAAGCCCCCCTCCCGCCCCCGCTGGCAGAGGCGCTGGAAGGGGCGCTGGCGGGGGATCTGGAAGGTCTGGAAAACTGGCGGATTTTTTCCCTCTGGGAGACCCCCTCACTACCTCACCCCCTAGGTCCACTCAGGTTTCTCTGGCTGGGCTTAGGAGAGAAGGCCTGAGCTGGGGAAGGGCTAGGATCTGGCTGCGCTCCTCACCGGCCTAGTTTGAGGGGAGAAGAAAGAGTAAGGAACCAGACTGGGGCTGGCGCTGTAAGGAGGAAGGAATTTGGTCCCGGCCACGTCAGGAGTCCCAGAGCAGGCGAGAGCTCAGTTTCCAGGCTTTCTTTTCCGAGATGTCCTTGAATCGCTCAATCTCTGCCGAAGGGCTCGGGTCCCGCAGTCTCCTCTTTCCCTCGGTTCTCCGCCTCCGCCACGTTTCGCAAGAGTCGGCCTGGCGCGGGCCGGGGGCTGCCCTGCTGGCTTCCGGCGGCGCCTCCCTCCTCGCTCCGGGGAGTGGGCGGGGGTGACCTGGGGCCTGGATAATGCGTCCTTTCTGGCCTTTGGGGCCCGGGGTTCAGAAGCCGAGGACCCCAGACTACCAAAGGCAGGAAGAAAGGCCTGTGTGGGGCCGGAGACCACTCCGACCAACCCGGGCTCCCACTCTACCCCCAGCGAAACCCCGTGCGGCCCTTTTTGCGGGGCGAGGGCGTTGCTCTATGTGGGGAACCCGGAGAGGCCTCCCAGCCACCACCGCGATCCCCGGGAGAACCGGGAGGCAGGGCTCAGCGCCGGGCCGGGCGAGGCGCGTGCAGGGGGGCCGGGGGCTCGCAGGCGGCGGGCGGACGCGAGAGCGCTCGGAGCCTGCTCCAAGTTTCACCCCGAGGCCGGAGGGCGAGCGAAGTAACAGAAATCCCGATATAAACTTTTAAAAATAATATCAGTTTTATTAAATATTCTAGAACGGATCCAGAGGTCGGATTTATACAGGAGGGTAACACGACGGGATTTTTAAAATTTATTATTTTTCTCCTACCGGCTAAACAAACGTCATCCACTATTTTTTCTCTCTTTTTGTACTTTTCCCTCTTTTTTTTTTCCTTTTTAAGATGGGATTGGAACACGGACGGTGCTAAACATAAATATAAATACAGAGACCACAAATACAGCTAAAAATATTCACACAGAAATGGTCACAGTTTGTAATATGCCATAATGATCCCCAGGATTCTTTAAAAACAATTCGCCTGGGCTGGGCATTTGCTGGGGCAGAGGGGCCGGGCGGGGGCTGCGGGCAGGCCCTGGGGGTTGCTGTGGGATCACCACGCGCCCTACTTGGGCCTCCCGCCCTCCCCGGCTGCCACGCCGGGCCCTGAGGCCTGGGAGCGGAGGCCCCCGGGCCCGGGAGCCGGCTCTCTGCGCGGGGGCGGGTGTGGGGGGCGCCGAGAGGGTTGGAGGCCAAGTCCTCGTTTGGAGGGAGATCTGTGGAGTCTGAAGCGAGGTTCAGGCACGAGCCCCAAGGCCTGGGCGAGGGAAGGGGCCTGCAGACGAGCCGAGAACGAGCTAGCGAGGGAGCAGGAGAGGAGGAGGCGCCTTGTGAGAGAGTCTGTGCGGTGAGGGAGGGGGTCCAGAGCTGACTTTTCAGGTCCATATTTGACTCCCTAATTTTGTCTCAGGAAGTCCAGACATCAATTGTGCCAGTGATAAATACAGAGTGTGTGATTAGGAGGGAGTTGGGGGGAGCGAGGGAGCAGGAGAGAGAGGGGTGGCAGGGACAGTCCTGGTCACTCTTTCTGCTTCTCCTCTTCTGTCTCTTCCCGCTTTTCCTCTTTTCCGCCCAGGCTGTCGACCGCGGCCCCTCCGCCGCCCCCTGAGAGCGTGGACGTGAGATTGGACTCTTTTTTCCACTTCATCCGGCGGTTCTGGAACCAGATTTTGATCTGTCGCTCGGTCAGGCAGAGCGCGTTGGCGATCTCGATGCGCCGGCGCCGCGTTAGGTAGCGGTTGAAGTGAAATTCCTTCTCCAGTTCCAGGGTCTGGTACCGCGAGTAGATCTGGCGACCGCGCCTCCGGTCCGCTCCATAGCCGACCCCTAGAGATCCGGGCACAAAACACACTAAAAACAGTCAGCAAGGCACCCTCCGCAGACGATTTAGCCTAGCACAGCCCTGACCCTCCCAACTTGGCCAGCAACTCACGGGCCCCCTCGGGCTCCAGCCTTCTCCTCTCTGTCCTGTCTCCACCCCCACTGGGGGTACTACAGCCAGGATCCCAACTTCATTCAGCCACCCCCCGCCAGGTTGGTAGGTGGGTCCCAAAGAAAGGTGGGGTTAGGGTGGGGGACAGAACCAGGCAGAAAGCTGCAAGTCTAAAAGCTGATTTTTGAAAAATCCCAAACATGGGGGATGGGGCCCCATTTCTGAACGACTGGGTTCCCCCATCTCCCCAAGCGTCCTAGCTCCTTGGAAACTTCTCCCCACTTCTCTGTCCCCTCCTCTCCCCCTCCCTTCTCCTCAGCCTGACTCGACTTTGGGGGGCTCCCCCACCCCCTCCCCTCATCCCCTGCCCTGTTCCTGCCCCCTCAGCTCGCCTTGGAGCCCTCCAATCCGTCAGGGGCCGAGGGGGCCAGGCCCCTGCGAGCAAGCGGGAGGCGAGCAGAGGGGGCAGAAGAGGGGGCCCTGTCTCGGCGTCGGCGAGGAGACGAGCGTGATTGTTTTTATGGGGCCATAAAAAACTCTCTCCGCCCGTTCTTCTAGGGAAGCCGGTCATAAAGCCAGTTCAGTTTATTTAATTTATATCTCGGAGCTGTAAAACTCACCACTGTGCGAATTCATTCGCTGCATCCAGGGGTAAATCTGGATACTGGCTTTCTGGTCCTGGGGCGCAGTCCTGCCCTGCTCAGAACTAAAATCCTGAGCGATTGAGGTCTGTGTGTTATGTCCTAAGGTGTTTTGTCTGCAGTTTGAGAGCATGTCTTTCTCCTGGTAAAAGGAATTAGATCCATAGTCATACGGCCCTCGGCTGGAACTGAACACGACATTCTCCTGTGGCGAATAAAAGGGAGTCGAGTAGATCCGGTTCTGGGCAACGGCCGCTCCATAGGTCGAGAAATGCCTCACTGGATCATAGGCGGTGGAATTGAGGGCGACGTTGGGGAGGACGTCCTGGCCCCCGGCGAGGTGGCAGGATAAGGAAGGGTTAGTGAAGTAGGAATTCATCCCTTTGCCTTTACCTGGTCGGGCTATGATTTCTTTAATATTTATTTCTGTCTCCAGTTTGTACTCGGAACTAGATGGTTATAGGGACGGCTCCAATCCAGGACAGACAAAATGACAAAGTCAGCTGACCCCCTCCCAGCCAATCGCAAGCCAGATGTCAAGAAGGGGGAAAAAAATCGCTTCTGCTTCTGTTGATTCCCTAGTTGAGACTAAGTGTGTGCTTTGAAAGTAAGACTTGGATTTCTTTTAAAAATATATAAGTAAGGGAACTGATTTGAGGGTGAAGGAAGGGTGAATGTCCCCGAGCAGGGCCTTGGGGCCCAGAAAAGGAGAGCTACACTCCCAGGAAATCTCTCAGCTCCAGCTAACTTTGCTGTGCTGTAGCCA